CCTGCCCCGCCGCGCCCGGGCACTGCGCTCGGTCAGGGGGGAGCCGCGCGGCAATTACAGCGGGGCTCGGGGCTTTTAGATAGCAGCGCACAGAACTGCGGCCTTTCCTAGCTCGGGGCTTCCCTAACGCCCTTCCCTGCGCGCGGGAACGGCCTCGGGAATGCCAGACACCCCGGAGCGACGCGCGGATGGGGAAGCTGCAGCTTGGCACGAGCGGGTCCACGTTAACGCGGCTGCGCTGGAATCTGCATCCCTGAGAGCCGGGTGGGATCTCCATAAAGGCGTTTGGGCTGTTAAATGCGTGTCATACAAGTCGGCTTTCCGAAAGCTAACTTGGCAAAATCACCACCTCCATTTTCCTGTAGCAAAAGTGCGTGTTTTAAAGACAACCTTTTATGTAACTCCATTGAGTTACTCACTGCTGCTCCTTTACCCTTCCCTAAGTGAAGCCTTTTGACATAATTCCAAGGAAAATAAGCATGCTAGGCCTAGTATCCTATGCAACCCTTTAAAAAATCATTTTAAAACACAGATTTTTATCCCTCGGAGGATTATTTCCCACGTGACAATGCCCAGGCTTCTGTTTCCGCCGCTGAGACACATGCTAGGAATAAAAGGGAACGGTGTTTTGGGAGCCAGCGACGGCGGGCGCTGCGCGCGCCACCCACCAAACCGTGTTCGATCCCCGCGTGCTCCTTGGTGGGATTCTGCCCCACCGCTGAATCCAGGCTGCCAAACGCCGTGAACTGAGACATGGATGAAAGCTGATAAATCCAAGTGATGTTTTCTTTCTCTTTTCCCCCCTCCTTATCAACCCAAAGAACTTCTCTTCATTGCAACTGTCTTCCACGTGAGCAAACTGTAAGATGAACCACCCCAAACGCTTCTGCGCGGCCATTATTGGGATAACACCGGCTCTTCACCTCTCCCCAGACTGACTGTTCATTTTAAAGGCTAACAACTTCCTTCCTCTCCCCCCAAAATGTTTGTTTTTTCCCCATACACAATAGCAAGGGTATTGAAACCCCGTGTCCTGAACAGCAGCTCCATGAGGAGAGTGCTGTTTGGTTCCTTTGCAGTGCGTGGCTGCGTTAGCAACATTGCTGCTGGGATCTGGATTCCCACTGCAAGGGATATGAGGATGAGGAAACCTGTATTAAAAGTTGAATGGCAACAACAGTGGCATAAAACACCAGAGTGAGGTCCATGCTACAAGATTAGGAAATGAGCAGAAATTATATGCAATTAAGCTAAGACCAAGAACTAATAATGGACACTTATCATAGTTGTTTTCAACAAATGTGTGGAGTGGCCTGGTCCTTCCTGCTCAAACAAACGCTGCTGTGAACTGCTGTGCACTTTGTTTGCAGGCTGAAGCAAGATGCAGCGTGGCAGAGGTGAACGACCCACACAAAGACTCTTAGACCTGGATTTTCAGTATGCGTAGTCATTCACCAAAGCAGTGGAAGCTGACAAATCACTCTGTCTAGTTCCGCTTCCCAGCAAACATATGAGGCCCTGCAAATTTATTCTGTCTACCCAGAAAAGCAGATTAAAACAAGCACATTTATTTCATTTGTATCTGATGTCGCATCTGAACGTCAGTCTCCAGAGGTGATATATTAATGTCCTAAAGCGTTGCACCATCTGGTACCTCTTTCCATGTGCAGCATTTGAATGCTTGGTATAATCTCTCTAGGCTTCAGTCAATTATGTAAAGTCAGAGGCCTGGCAGTGGGAGATGGGCGCCACGAGGAGAGGATTCAGTCATCAATATCTATTGGGTTTCCTTTTTGCTGCCATTACAATTCTTTCTTTCAGTTCTGCCTTTAAATTTTGTAAGTGAATAATTCATTGCACTAGAAGCTGCAGGGTAGTTTTGGAATTTGCCCACCCTGAGATTAGCTATGATTAGTCTACCCTTTCCAACTGTGGAAAAGCCAACTGGGTTTCTTTTTTCCGGGGTTGGTGATAAATCAGAAATAAATTATTTGTATATGTAACTGCTGGAAACGAAATAAATCATGTTTCCTTTTTTCTGGACAGGATAAGAGCACCTTGGAATAAATGTGACTCAGATTTTGCACTTGCTACACTTGCCTTGGAAAGCCATGGCTGCTGCCCCTCATCTGAATTCGGATGCGCTCCGAGAGGTCCTGGAATGTCCCATTTGCATGGAATCCTTTACTGAGGAGCACCTGAGACCCAAGCTCTTGCACTGCGGGCACACGATCTGCAAACAGTGCTTGGAGAAACTCCTGGCAAACAGCATTAATGGGATCCGTTGCCCCTTCTGCATCAAGATCACACGGATCACAAATTTAGCTCAGCTGACTGACAATCTTACTGTTCTGAAAATCATAGACACCGCAGGACTGGGGGAAGTGGTGGGTCTTCTCATGTGCAAGGTTTGTGGCAGAAGATTGCCCAGACACTTTTGCAAGAGCTGCAGCTTGGTTTTATGCGAGCCCTGCAAGGAGACATCACACGTGCCCCAAGGACACAGTGTCATTGCCATCAAAGAGGCTGCGGAAGAACGTAGGAGGGAGTTTGGGACAAGGCTTGCCAGGCTCCGGGAGCTCATGGGGGATCTGCAGAAAAGAAAAGCATCTCTGGAGGGTGTCTCAAAAGACTTGCAGTCGAGATACAAAGCCGTTCTGCAGGATTACAGCAAAGAGGAGCGCAAGATCCAGGAAGAACTGGCCAGGTCACGCAAGTTCTTCACCACCTCTTTGTCTGAAGTGGAGAAGGTAAATAATCAGGTAATGGAGGAACAAGCCTATCTGCTGAATTTAGCAGAAGTGCAGATACTGTCTCGCTGTGATTACTTTCTTGCCAAAATAAAGCAAGGAGATATAGCTCTCTTGGAGGAAGCAGCAGATGAGGAAGAGCCAGAGCTGACGAGCAGTCTCCCAAGGGAGCTGACTCTTCAAGAAGTTGAGCTCCTCAAGGTGAGCCACGTGGGACCGCTGCAGATTGGGCAGGTGGTGAAAAAACCTCGGACTGTTAGCATGGAGGAATCGCTCATGGAAACTGCTGCGTCCTCATCGGCATCGTTTAGGGAGCCGGACTTGGTGCCGGAGGAAGCCAGCTGCACTCCCAGTTCCTCACCGGCAAAGCCAAGGGTGCCCGAAGCTGCGGCCAGCATCCAGCAGTGCTACTTCATCAAGAAGATGGGCTCCAAGGGCAGCCTGCCCGGGATGTTCAACCTCCCTGTCAGCCTGCACGTCACTCTCCAAGGAGAGGTACTCGTGGCAGATCGGGGTAATTTCCGAATCCAGGTTTTCACCCGGAAGGGTTTTCTGAAGGAGATCCGCCGGAGCCCTAGCGGAATTGATAGCTTTGTATTAAGTTTCCTGGGAGCAGACTTGCCGAATTTGACTCCCCTTTCTGTCACCATGAACTGCCACGGCCTCATCGGGGTGACCGACAGCTACGACAACTCTGTGAAGGTGTACACCATGGACGGCCACTGCGTGGCCTGTCACCGCAGCCAGCTCAGCAAGCCCTGGGGCATCACGGCCCTGCCCTCCGGGCAGTTTGTGGTGACCGACGTGGAAGGGGGAAAGCTCTGGTGTTTCACAGTGGACCGTGGTGTCGGGGTGGTCAAGTACAGCTGCTTATGCAGCGCGGTGCGCCCCAAGTTCGTTACCTGTGATGCTGAAGGGACCATATATTTTACTCAAGGGCTGGGACTCAACCTGGAAAACCGCCAGTACGAGCACCACTTGGAAGGAGGCTTTTCCATTGGCTCCGTGGGGCCAGACGGGCAGCTGGGACGCCAGATTAGCCACTTCTTCTCGGAGAACGAGGATTTCCGGTGCATTGCCGGGATGTGCGTGGACGCCCGGGGAGACCTGATTGTTGCCGACAGCAGCCGTAAAGAAATTCTCCATTTTCCCAAAGGAGGCGGCTACAATATCTTAATCCGGGAAGGCCTCACGTGCCCGGTCGGCATTGCCATTACTCCCAAAGGGCAGCTCTTAGTGCTTGACTGTTGGGATCACTGCATTAAGATCTACAGTTACCACCTCAGAAGGTACTCCACTCCCTAAAGGCCCTGCTGGATGCAAAGCCTCTCTTGCCATTCTACCCTCTTCCAGCCTCATTGCACTTTGACAGGAATCAATGTCAAACTTTCAGGTAGATTGTGCCATAACCCAAGAGGGTTTGGCCTAGAGGCCATCGTATTTTGTGTTTAGAAACAAAATAGCTTGTGGAGTGGTGTTCTGCATTTTTTAAATCCGTACAATAAGAGAGTGAGCAGGAGGGAAAGGATGATTTTGGAGTACCGGTTCTGTGTTAAATGACTGGTTACTCCCTAAACCTCTTCACCTTCTTATGCCACATCTCCTACTTCAAGCTTCAACCATTGCATCTTTCTTTGTGCCATAAACGCTGACTGGCTGCTCTAAATCACTTCCCTTCGAGGACTTAGAGAAGAATCCTCTTGCTGGGGGTACTTGCAAGGCACTCAGTTGTCTGGGCAACTACTACAGAAAGCAATTTCTGATTGCAGCGCTGCATAAAACAGAATGGCCCTCCTAAACTGCACAGAGAGGAGCCTTCCTCACACTGCAGCGTGAGGTTTGCCTCTCCCCGGCCTCCAGCACACGGCCCGTCGGGCCACTTGTGAACCCGGTCTGTTCAGTGGGAAGACAGCACAGTGCAATCATGGGAGACTGAGCCGAGCCAGAAAACTGCCCTCTGATGGCAAGGGGATTGTTAATTCTACCAGGAGATGGACTAGTTAAAGGGGGGTAAATTAAGGATGAGGGTTGGGGTGGGGGGGTAGTATGGGAAACTACTGTTGGTATCACGGGTGTTTTATTATTAAATGTTATCTTGGAAAGTGTCTTTGGAAGGCATGCTTGGTATCTGAGGTGTTGGAGGGGGGAGGAGAGGGAAGTGATGGGGGAGTAAGACTGGGAAATTGTAGTAAACACATTAAATGCTCTAATACACAGCGCCTCCACCTGCACTTCACTATCCCCCTTTCCAGCCCTCTGCGTCTCCTGGTAGGTTTTCACCAACCTGCACTTTGTAGGTGGAAGCTACTTTCTCTTGAGATGGGGGTAGGAGAGATTCTTCCTCTTTTATTTTTCCTTAATACTTGGAAACCCTTCCACTGCTGCACTGCCTTTCTTCTCTCTCTGCACAGCAAAATGCTACATTCCTTGGCTTTTTTAATGGTACCAGCAGGCACCAGAGTTGATGTTCATCATGGCTTTGGGCCAAATGAAGCACAAAACTGCAGCTGTGTGAAGCAAGGCCCCCACAGTGCTGCTCGCCTGGCTGATAAACACGTACCTCAGTGTGGTGCTGCTCGCCTAGAATAGTTTATTGAAGCAAAGACGCACTTAAATAGGACACAGTGGTAGAGTGTTAATCTGCCACAGATAATAGTTACGCTGCAGCGTGTTTATTTGTTGCTATCAACAATGTACTTGCAAATTTGGGGGCACCACAGACAATTTAAAAGCTGACTTTATAGTGGCTGCCAAGCTACAGCAAAGTGTTTGCTATTTGTGCTACCACCTATGTGCAACAGGTGATTTAGGATTTTTACAATTATTTTCGGTGATTTGTAGAATTATTTTCCGCGGGAGATGGTGGAAGACACTGAGGGAGTCAAAGCAAGTTTAAAAATCCCCGTTGTCCACGGAGCTGCTCTGTGCTTATCGGGGCTTCCATGTAACCACTGATACCCTCAGCTGTTGGGTGGGGGGGTCGCCCAAGGTTTGTACCAGCAATTTGGGCAGCCGATCGCTCCTCGTTTGTGTGTTTTGGGGAGATGACTACTATTCCTGGGACCTTCTGCAGGTAAATATATTGTAACTCAAGGTGTTTTTCCAGCATTACGCTAATGGCAGCTCCTCTCCTTCTGATCTCCTTTAAACATCTCCTGTTCCTAAGAACTGCTTCAAGCAGGAAGCTCCCACAGACCTGAACAACTGCAGCAATATTATCTGTGATAATATGTACCTCTGTCATACTCTGTTCCAATGGAATTTTTTTGCAATAAACGCCACGCTACCAGTAAGAGTGTTTCCTGGAGTGCTTACACGGGCACAAAGCCGGTGCAGCAAACGGGCCGTGCAACTGGTTACCCCACATTATTGCTAGTTTAAACAAAGCCTCTGTCATCTGTTCCCTGCTCAGAGATTCGGAGAAAATAACACGACTTTGTGATGCATTTGTGGGCCAAGGTACTGGGACTGGAGCCTGCGTGTGTGTTAAGCCAGCAGCTGTTCTCTATTCTTGGGTTGGGGCAGAAAAGGAAAGAGAAGAAAAGCTGATGTTTTGCCCTTCCCCTGACGAAGGAGCAGTGACTATGAGTGGTTCTTGGTGCTGTATCTCTTGCCCCCTCGCACACACGCTGCTGTGATCATCTGCCAAGGGAGATGAAACGGGGTAATTAAGAATTGCCATGAAGTAGCAAAGCTGCCATGAAGCAGCAGTGGCTGCTGCTCTTCACCTGCAGAAGGAATGCAGCTGGTTAAATGTACGTGCTTGATTTTTAAGGATTGTGTAATAAAGGAAAAATTGATCCAATTAAAAGTGCATTGCGAATGGCTCGTTTGGTTATTAAAACACTTCATCTCCTCCCTTTGGTGGCAGATTGTTTTTTATGGCCAGTGGGAATTCCACTTGCGAGCACAACAGCTACAAGATCCTCTTTTATGCTGTCAGGATGTGCGGGATAAATCTGATCTCTTTGGCGGGTCTAACGTAACTTCTAACACTTCTCTACCCACCTCATAAACAAATGCTAGAGTTTCTTATATCCACTCAGTGATAGTCCCACAAGGCCAACGCCTTCTTGCTGCAACTGATACCGGCTGATTAAAAGGCCTGGTCAGAATTCATTCTCACACAGCAGCTTGGTAAACTTGGAAGCTGGGTCAGGCTTACAGTCCTCCCACGGCACTTGACTCATTTAGGCATTTTCCGGCTCACTTTTGCCCCACCACAGAAGTGATGTATTTTGTTAACAGAATTTGCAGGGCTGGTTACGAGGGTTCACCTATTACAGTGGATAATTTTGACAAATACTGCAAGAAATCTAGCTGGAAACAGCATATTTACATGAATCCAAGGGATAGCTGAATAATTTCAAAGCCCCCTGTTTGTCATCAGCACACACAAGGTCTCTCCTTTTGCTGTTCCCCAGCTCAGTTTGCTGATCTGGGCTTTGTGTTTTACTGGGCTCATCCCCGATGATCTGAGGCAGCTCTTGAAGCAGCTGCGAGTTGCTGCTTTATCAGGATCCTTGCAGTGACTGCGGTGCCAGCGCTGCTGTTTCAGGCAGGGGAGTCACTTCTCAGGGAAGAGCCAACTGAGCCCTGAAGTCTGTTCTGCTCTGAAATCAGCAGCCACGGGATACGGGGGAGAGCCTGGTTCTTAATCAAAGGGGGCAGTGCTACAAAAGTAAAAATAAAGCCAGATGCTTTGAGTCCTTCCCATTGTACAGCTTAAGTGATTTTTCTGGGTCATTACTCAATGTGAGGATTTAGAGTTATTTCGTTTTGCACAACTAATTACTCTACTTGCATGGCAATTTTGGATTACAATGAACAGTGCATAAGGTCATTTAGCAGCCTGTTTCACAGCACATATTTTAGTCTAAACTAAATTTCACAGCAACCAGCGAGATTGTTTTTTCCTCCTCTGTAGAAAATGTCAAAATCTGAGGCTTTCAAATAAATATAATGATAGGAACCACATGTGGTAAGAGGGTTACAAAGGTAAAGTAGTCATTATTTATAGGAAATCTCAAGGACAGTCAAATTCTGACCAAGCAGAGCAAGGCATAAGGGAAAGGAATGATCTCCTTTAATAGATGCAAAGCTTGCCTTAAAGCTGTCTTAATGCACCTGACCGTGTCTGGAAATTGGAAACTAAAGATTCCTATGGATTAGTTTAATCTTAATTCTGTTACGGTGGTACCAGACCTAGGGGCAGGTGAATTAGACCTTGAAAGGGCAGAGTGGTCCCATAGACCCTCCTCTGAATAATACGGCCTGCTCCTTCAGCACACCCAAGGCTGGATCCTCAGTATGGTTTAGTACAGCATACGGCTGATACGGTTTTAGAAAATTGTTTGTCTAAACTGCTGAGTTCACAAGAAGACACCAAAGCAGGGATGCTGTAACCTCTTAAAGGCATGTGACTGACGACGCATGATCCAAGAGAAGCAAATACAACTGTTCTGGGCAGAAATCCTTGGCTAGCGGGACAGGACCGGTCACAGCCCCGCCATGGGCTATTCTAAGTACCTGTTACGGAGAGGGAACAGCTTTTGCATCTCTTGCAGGCACTTCCCAAGCTCAGTCAGGTCCCAACCTGGCCAGGTAATCTGCTGCTCACAGGAAATGCAGGAAAACCAAACGAACCCAAGAGCTGCTCCCTGAGGGCCTAATGGACGCAGCACCTCCCTGAGCACAGACGCACTCCTGCTTCCCCAGGGGCCCTAGTCCCGCTTCCCGGTGCGGCACAGGGCAGACGGGAGCTCCCAAAGGAGAGGGAGTTCTCAACAACACCCTTTTCTTTCTCCGGGTTTTCCCAGCTGGAGAACAGAAGTCTCAGCCCGCCCGCACAGCGCGAAGGAAAGCGCTCGAACACCCGAGGAGACCCTCTGCGTTGCTGCTGCTGACATCTCTGTTTTCTCTACATGCGGGAGTACTTGGACACACTTGTTCTGCATTTTGTGCGTCTCGGTGGGACCGAGGGGGCCGGGGCAGCCACCTGAGAGTCCTCACGGGACCGTCACATGCTGCTCTTGGAGCAGCTCTTCCCTTTCCCTAAGGAGGGTCCCCTCGTCCCGGCCAGCGCAGAGGCCTGTCCCACCTTCACCAGCGCAATGTGGTTGCTGGAGGGAGGGATCCTGCTCCTTCCTCCTGCACAATTTTGGGACTGTCTTAAACACCAGCGGAGGTGGCGCCGGGCAGCACGTTCGCCCCGGCTGTGGGATTCAGATACTCTCACGGTTGGTGCCAACTTCATGAGGTGCCACCAGCATCACGGGCCGGTTTCAATGGTGGGGAAACCCGATGCGGCTCCAGTGAAACGGATCAACGGATGGGTCGATCCCAAGGTCCCTGCTGGGAGGCCCCTGCAACAAGCTGGCCCTAAAAAGGGGCCTTTCATCATGCTAAATGCAATAAAACTGGGGCTGTTTGCTCATGGGGTAGCTCGGTGTCTAAGGGGGACACTGGGGGTTGACAAGCTTCCAGCCTGCGCCCAGGGTCGGGATGGAGCACAGCACCACATGCAACGGCTCCGCCGAAACATCCCCGTGCACCGAGGCCCCTGACCCTGGGACAAACCTTTGGGAGGCAGCTCCGTCCTCGTCTCAGACCCAGAGGGACGAGCGTGCCCCTAAGCCCTTCGGGGAACACACATCCCTGAGGGATTCAAACCTGGAGCACTGGGAGCAGTTCTGGGCTCCCCAAGACAAGAAGGAGCTTCTAGAGAGGGCTCAGCACAGAGCCACAGGCTAAGGGGCTGGAGCATCTGTCTTAGGAGGAAAGACCGAGCGAAGTGGGCCTGTTCAGCCTGGAGGAAGGAAAACTGAGAGGGGACCTGATCAATATGTACAAACACCTGAGCAGGGGGTTGGACTAGAGGATCTCTACAGCTCCCTTCCAACCTCAGCCATTCTAAGCAGCAGATCCATTTGCCCCGGGTGGCTGAAGGGATCCATAGGCAAACACCTCCCGTGCCAAGGGTCCCGCCGCGCTCGCCTGTCCCGACAGCGACGAGGGCCACGGCCGGCGGCGCAGCTTCGTGTCCGAGATGGTGTTTGCAATTACACTGTGCACTTTATTGGCAGGGGCCTCCTCCTGAGGCCCGTGGATTGATTTATGAAGTTGATTAAAATATTAAAATAATTCTGCAAACATGCCACAACGTGCGTTTTTATCATTCTTGGTGCCGTTCCAATTAACTCAGGACTCCCCCTCTCCCCCTCCTCTTTTGATCCGCTTTGTTCGCTAACAAATCACAGTTCTCCTGGCCTTATTTCTGTGTTTATTAGAGATGATGCATATGTGCGTTCCCTGCGCAGCTCTGGAATGGGTGGAATAGCAGCGGGGAGCGCAATGGGCCAGAGCTTTCCCTGGGTTGAGAAAGCATCCAGACCCATCTAGCTAGAGCTATTTGTCCAGGCCCTCCTTATGTCACTGGTAAGCAAGGGGTACATTGGCAGAGAGCTGGGCATGAACTCCACCTATCTTCACCAACGAGGTTTTCCTTTTAGCTAAACTGCAGTTTTCTTGAGGAGAGAATCCTGCCTTTCCCGCCACTCCTTTCTCCTCCATCCGCACAACCTCCTCCTAGATACCTCCTCGACGCGTTTCCCAGAGCGCTGGAAAACACCATTTACAGCACTTGAGCCCTCCGTGGCCGCCCAGGTCGACCTCGCGCAGCGCCCCGATACAGACGGACTCGTGCACAGGGAACAAGCACAGAAACGGCACCTGGGGCATACAGGCGGCACAGCTGGAGTTTGAATGTATCCAGGCACCACACAGGAACCCCCTGGGCAGTCGCTGGGCAGCCTGTGAGTCCATAGAGCTTCAGTCTGCAGCCCTAAACGGAGCCTAAGAAGGAAACTGTTTGGGTGAGGCGAAGCCAGCGAGACCCTGCTCCGCTCAGGGTTCCCTGCAGCACCAGAGCCATCGCTACGAGGAGCAGGGCTGGCCCTGGCAGGGGGCTCGCAAGCACGAGGCGCTCACAAGAGGGTCAAGATGTGGCTGCTATTCTCTCCACTCAGCCCCTGACACATGGCACCAAGCTCAGGTGGCACAAGGCACTGCTCATAGTGCCGCTGCCCAGCAAAATCCTCTCTCTTTTTTACCCTCTAATGCTGGAGTAACCCCGTTTCTCCAGTCCCTCCGGATTTGAAACAAACCCACCAGGAGGAGCAGGAGCTGTCCTGAGCCTCCTCCGCACTGAAGTGCTTGCAACAGGATGCCAGGGAACACGTCTGAATGATCAATAACATCCCCAGTACAGAAACCACACACCTCCGCCACGTATCTCCTGCTAAATAAAGGCATTGCTTTGGCAAACTTCATTCATCGTTATTTAAAGACAAAACAATCGAGGACAGGGTGTCATAAACATGCTCACAAGAATAGCTGCGCTGGGTAGACAGTGAAAAAATAAGCAAAAAGCACCGAGGAGGCTGGTGGGTGCCCACCTGGCTGGGTGGATTGTGCTAAATGAGGCCCCTCGCGGCAGCACGGGATGAAGGCACCTTCCAGGCTCCATCCCTGCCACCCCTACAGCGCGTCCGAAGCCCTGATGGAAACGTCAGGGTCGTTTTCAACCAAAACAAATACCCAGCCAAGGGAATATCCCAAGTTCCCTGGAGGAAGGAGATGAATTGGCAAATGGAAGGCTATGGCGATAAGGGAGTTTTTATAAACATAACCTAATTGTATTACTTCAAAGTCCTGAAGTTTATTGCCCTGTTTAATGATGTGTCTCGTTATTTATAGTGTAGCACAACGAGTCTGCTATTGATTTAATACACTTCCTTAAAGACCGTCATTGTCACAAGCAATAAAACGAAGCCATTCCGAGACAGCTCAATTATGCCACATCTATATAAACCGACCCAAATCACCCAGGGCGCTCCGGGGCCACCACAGCGGGGCTGCACGTGGCCAACGAGTGTCACGGTGCGTTTGCTTCCAAGTGAGAACGGCAGCTCCCGGCCTGAAGGCAACCTTGGAGCTGCCGGGGAAGGAAGGGGCTGCCGTGCGGGTGCTTCCCGGGATGGGAGAGTTCGATGGATGCTGCCTACGGATCTGTTCCCAGCAACAGCACAAGCACATTGCACACACGGCCCGGAGAGAGCGCCTGAGCTGGTGGAAACAGCAGCATTTGTGTGTCTGCCTCCCTCCTCCGCACCCCTTACCTTTCTGGTACTGCAGCCAGAGCTGCTGCTGGACCTTCTTGCTGGGGAAGTGGATGGTGCAGCTGAACTCGGAGCCGTAAAGCGCCTCCGCGATGTAGTGGGAGCCAAACTGCTGGATGAAGGAGAGCAGCTCCTCCCGGCTGCTGTCCTTGCTCAGGATCTTGAGGATGTTTGCAAAGCCTGGAAGAGTAAAGCCTCATATTGGCAGGTTGGCCAAGCAGGGCCGACGGCGACAGCACTGGGAGAAAGCAGCCCGCAAATCCCCTGCTTAAAACAGACATCTCTGCGTAGGTACAAAATGCGCTTCCTCCTCTGTTTCCTTGGGGGCTTACATAATCTTGTGCTAACCACCAAATATGTTATTTTCCTCAGGCAGCAGCTTTCACATCGTCCTATGATTCCGCTTCGCGAATAAATTGTCAGGGATGTGCACATGAATGCAGGCATATAGCACGCACACAGGCTCGGGCCTGTTTTGCAGAACTCCAGGCCATAAATCAATGGTTTTCAGAGGACATGTTTGGCCTTTGTAATGCAGGGATCATAGCCAGAAAAGTTGTCCTGGTGCAAGGATGAATTCATTATAGATTGCACAGCAGACCAGCCCCAGTGTAAATACTCTGGACAACTGACACCTATTTTTAGAGCTGCTGGAGACAGTGCAGAGCGACTGGAGCCGTCGGGAGGACGGCGATTCCCTGGAAGCACCAAGGGAGACGGGGCCGGGTGAGCTCTGCAGAGCGGAGCGGCGTCACCGGCGCCTGCTGCAAACACCCGGCCGTGCAGGAGCCAGGGATGCTCCCACACTGGAACACTACTCTGCCAATGCCACACACATACGGGACATATGGGACATGGCACTAGTATTTCTCCCCACTGTTGTGTGGAAATGACCTGTCTTGGAGGCGCTGGTGACTACATGATGCCTTGGTATAATGTAGAGCTGGCCAGTATCAACGTTTTTGGTCCAGTGGTGAAACTAAAAACATAATGCAAGAAAAGACATCACAGCTGTCACCAAAAGGAGGTTAACTGGCTGCTTTGTTAGCTGTTTTTTTGAAGGAAAAGCTTTGTTGAATAAAAAGGATGAAAAATTCATTTTGAGCCGACCCCAAATATTTTGTTCAATTCCAGGAGGGTTATTTTGTTCTGGGGCTGTGCAGCCTGTTTGTATTAAATCCTTTCCTCCCTATCCCTCATTTAAAAATAGGTTGATTTCTAAATAAAAAATGCTGTTTTGAAATAGAAAAGCAAAACATATCAGGTCCCAACAAAACGTTTCAGCGTTCCTGAAACAGAATGTGCAGTTACAGAAACGTGGTGGTGAAATGTTGTGACGTTTCAGAACCTGCCCTCCCACCCCTTCTTCAGCTGCGACTCCTTCCTTCATATGACCCACATTTACAAATGGTTTGGGAGGTCCTTTGGACATTCCGCTCTTCTGGAATTTACTCTTTGCTATACGTACATGCACGAAATGCCCATATAAATCCTGCCCACAGCATGGCTTATTAGTGTAATCCCAGCTGGCCAGGCAAGCGCCCTGCCTCGGTTTCCCTCCTGGAAGGAGGTGATGTTTTCCCATGCGCCCGCAGCAGGGCTGGCCAGGGTGGCTGCCACCGGAGCAGAGCTTGGAGAAGCCAAGTACCAGAGAACACTCTGCATGACCATAAACTGGAGCATCTATCGTATGAAGAGAGACTAAGTGAGCTGGGCCTGTTTAGCCCGGAGAAGGGAAGACTGACAGGGGATCTGATCAATATGTACGAGTACCTGAGGGGAGAATGTAGGGAGGATGGGGCAAAACTCTCCTCGGTGGTGGCCAGTGACAGGACAAGGGGTAACGGGTACAAGTTGAAACCCAGGCAGTTCCATCTCCATGTGAGGAAGAACTTCTTTCCTGTGAGGGTGACAGAGCCCTGGCACAGGCTGCCCAGAGAGGCTGTGGAGGCTCCTTCTCTGGAGTTCTTCCAAACCCGCCTGGATGCCACCCTGTGCCCCTGCTCTGGGTGTCCCTGCTGGAGCAGGGGGCTGGACTAAATGATCTCTAGAGGTCCCTTCCAACCTCAACCGTTCTGGGATTCGGTGAGCTGTGAAGCGCAGGCAGGGATGGAGTGCTGGTGGCGAGAAGACAGCCCGCCCACGTGGACATGTTGCCTTGCCACCGTTAGAGACGCAGCCACGTGGCCCTCACCTGCAGACAGGGTGATGGAGCTGAGCTTCACTCTGTACAGGTTGCTCCGGACCCTCCAGTGCTGCACCATGGGGTAGCCCATTGCCTCGTCGTACTTGATGTCTCCTGCAAAGACAAAGCCGGGGCTCAGGGATGGCTGAGGGGACGGCCAGGCGCTGACGTGCTCTAGAAAACGTTATTTTCATGCTGTTTTCTCAGCTACAAACGCACCGATCATGGGATCGTGACCTCGTGCCTGGGCTAGCGTGGAGGGAGCTCACAGGGCAGAGGCGGCCAGGGCACTGCTGTGGGTAAGCTCACGGCAGCAGCATCCCAGGGCACATGCACGTAGCTGATGCATGTTTTCCAGCTGGAAGGGCACTAAAGGACCTTGGGCAGGGCTGAGCATGAGGAGGGGACATGGGACATGGGCTCCTGTGCTGCCCGTGGTGGCAGCTGAGCCCGAGGGGCCCCACACGGCGGCTCGTACCGGTGAGAAGCTGGAGGTCGGGCAGGGGCTCCGAGAGGACGCCGCGGCACTGCTCCTCCACGGGCAAGGGGATCACGAGGAGGCCGTCGGCCAGCTGCGGAAAGTCCTTGATGAAGTTATTCTCCCTGCAGAGAGAAAAAGAAAACTCCAAAGCAACGATGCAGGCCACGTCCGGACAGAGGGGCTGAGCTGCCCTCACGGTGCCGGGGTGGCCCGGTGCTCCCACGCTCGAAGCCCAGGACACTGCAGGCCTTGGAGCCCTCCGAGGGGCAACGAGCTCCCCAGGGACTGCTCCTGGGATGACCGGCTCTCCGAAAGCAGAAGCAGCTACGCTTGTATGCAGAGACGCCAAGAAGTCGAAGTGTGTTGCTCGTGGTGCAATTTTATTCTACCTGTGAGCGATTTCCTAAGCTCTGCAGGGGTCTAACAGCCCCTAGCACATTGCTTCAAGCACAGGCATGCTGGGGACACAGTTTGAAGAACAAGCAGGCAGGTATCCACGCACCCAGCTTTTCTGGTGCCAGCAAAAACAGAGCAGGGAAGCAATTTAAATATTGATTGTAGGGTGGAAAATGTAGGGCAGGCGGCTCCGAGCACGGCGCGCTCCACCGCGCCACGCGGGAGGCGCCTGGACGAGCAGCCCGAGGAGCGCGCGGCGGCCTCGGCGCTCCGCTGGAAATGGCCCTCCCCAGGCCGCCCCCGCCGCCTCTCCCCTCCGGCCAAGACTCTAGGCAGCCGTTGGCTTCATCCCCCACCGTCCTCTTCCTCGGCTGCCCACGGGCGCTCCTGATTGTGCCTCGTGAGCTTCGCTTTAGGCACTGCCAGAGAAAAAGTGGTTTATTGGTCTGAGGGGAAAAAGCTCTCGCTCACGCAGGCGCTCGCAAATCTCCTATTGATCACGCGCCGCGTCCCTGGCGCGGGGCCAGGACTCGCTGCTCCGAGCCCCTCGCTGCTGTAGCGATGCGACGGGAGGGCGCGATCCCCGCACGGCCGCAGGGCTGCAGACCCAGCTGGCCGGGGGGAACGTGGGCAGGAGCACAGGGCTCTCGGCTGCTCTGCCTCAGCAGGCAGGGGGAAAAGCACCCGTAATGCTGAATTTCGGAGGCCAGGAAAAGCAGGATGCAGCACCGCAAAATGAGAGAGTGCAGCAAACCCTCCAGTCCGCAGCTCTGCTGCCTGGCCGCACGGTTGGGACTGTCCCCTCTGCGCTGGCAAACCCAAGGGCCAGGCGGGTCACACCGAAGGCCATCCAGGCTAGTCCCTCTGGGAGCACCGGGAGGCGAGGCACGGGGAAGACAGCGGTTCCTTCCCAGGCCCTCTCCCCATTTCCAGCTATGTGAGGGTGTTGGGTCTGGTTGGTCCAAACACACACGAGCTCAAAAGAGAGAGCCCTGGCACTGCCAGGAGAGCTGACTCCGAGCAGGGTTGCAACAGCCCCACCACGTGTCCAAAACACCCACTCCCCCCTAGAAACACCCACAGGATCTTGTGCTCTAGCAGGGACGGGAGCGAGCCAGCACGGTATCCACGCACAGGTGAGAGAAGAACTCTCTCTCTTCCACCACCCCAAATGCATCCAGAGCCAGAGGAAGCTGGGCACGAGCCCAGCTTGTTTGGGGTGGAAAAACAGCAGCCGTGGTGGGTGGCAGCCCATGTGCCGCGGTAGTAAGGAAGGAGGGACCCAAGAGAAGAAGCCCTGCAAAGCCAGGTGTGAAGATGCTCTGCATGCAGGGGTTGCTAGCCAGAGCCGGTGCCTCTGTAAAAAGGTATTTACTGAAAAGCTGCTTGCTGTAATAGCATTTGCTTAAAGAGCTCTGCAATCAAAAGGTTGGGGGAAAACAAGGGCCGAGTGCACGCACTTGCAAATAAAGGCCTGTGCACACATCAGCGCGCGTGCACGCATATGTCCACAATATGCTGCTGTATTTGAACAAGCAGCGTTAAAAGACAGGCCTTGAGGAGCAGCCTGACGACACATTTCTGCTATCAAATCCTTCCTGCGTCTCCTCCCTCCCTTCTGCCAGCAGCTGCCTTCTCTCTTCGGTAGCAGGTCAGCGCTGCTCGCTTCCCCACCGTCAACCACGTGCACGTGCTGCACACACACCGGGCCCTGCAAACCAGAAACAAGCCCCAGCAGAGCGCAGGGGAGGGAAACGCCGGATCTCTTTGCCCGGCACGGGATAGGGGGGCATCCCACATGGCGCTGCCACCACCCCGGTGTCTGCGCTGTGCCAGGCTGCAAGCGGCGGGCAGGGGAAGGGAGCAGGGAGGGCAGAGCGGGGCGAGCAGGAGGGCGGCTGGGCGAGCATGCCCTTGGGCGAGCGTGCCCCCGGGCGAGCAGCAGGCGCTGTGCTGCGGAGGCGCAGCCGGCAGAGGGCTGCAGCTGCC